GGGGCGTGGTAGTGCATGCCTGTAACTCCCGGCTACTTGGAAGGCTGAGGCGGAAGGATCGCCGGGGCCCAGCAGGTCGAGGCTGCAGTGGCCGGGAGCGGCCACTGCACTCCAGTCTGGGCAACAGAGTGAGACTCCAACTCAAAAAAAAAAAAAAAAAGTCAGATCATCTGTTCCAAGTGGACTTCCTGGCAATCCTTTCAAGCTTTTAAGGTTTTTTTGTTTTGTTTTGTATATTGTTTTAAGACTACAGCACCATTCCCACGCCATCTCCCAACCTAGTACTAACCATGCCCGACCCTGCTTGGCTTCCAAGATCACATAAGATCAGGCACATTTGGGGTGGTATGGTCGTAGATCCTTCTGATTTCGAAAAATACTGTGCAAAAAATGTTATCAATCTTAATGATTTTTTAGCGTCCACTTAAATTTTGCTTTTTTAGCATCCAATTAAAATTTGCTTTTTTAGTGTCCACTTAAATTTTAAATCCAAGGCAAGTGCCTCACTCTAGTCCCAGAGTAAAGGAGACCTGGGAGGAAGTACTCCCAGCAACCCCAGGACAAGATTAGGAGCCTTGAAGCTGCCTGGAATTGCATCATTGGCATCAAGGATAGCCCAGCTCCCTGCAGGACTACTATTATTGAAGACAGGGTCTGGCTCTGTCACCCAGGCTGGAGTACAGTAGAGTGATCATAGCTCACTGCAGCCTCAAGTCTCTTGGCTTCAAGTGATCCTCTTGCCTCAGCCTCCCGAGTAGCTACAGGTGCACCATGCCTGGATGATTTTCTAATTTTTTTTTTGTAGAGATGGGGAATCTCACTATGTTGCCCAGATTGGTCTTGGATTCTTGGCCTCAAGCAATCCTCCTGCCTTAGCCTTTCAAAGTGCTGAGATTACAGCGTGAGCCACTGAACCTGGCTGTGTGGCACTTCTACACTGTGCTTGCAGACTTTATCTTTCGTGAGCCTTAAAACAAGCTGGTCAGGGGGCAGGGCAGAGGTAGTTATGCCCGTTTGTAAGACAGTCAGAAGGAGACTCAGTGAGGTGAGGTGCTTTGCCAAGGCTAGAAGTAGGGGACTCCGGCATGGAAGCCCAGACTTCTGGTCCTTTTCCTGGCATGACGATTGAAAGTCCGGGTTAGCCTGAGCCCGCGGGTTCAAGACCCACCTGGGCAACTTGGTGAGACCTCATCTCTACAATAAATCAAAAAAAATAGCCAGGTGTGGTAGTGCGCACCTGTAATTCCAGCTACGTGGAAGGCTGAGGCGGAAGGATCGCTGGAGCCTAGCAGGTCGAGGCTGCAGTGACCGGGAGTGGCCATTGCACTCCAGTCTGAGTGACAGAGTGAGACTCCAACTCAAAAAAAAAGAAAAGAAAAAGAAAAAGAAAGGAAAGTCTGGGTTAGGGCTGGACTAGGTGGCTCAGCCTGTAATCCCAGCACTTTGGGAGGCCAAGGCGAGTGGATTGCCTGAGCCCATGGGTTTGAGACTAGCCCAGGCAACTTGGCCAGACCTCGTGTCTACAATAAATAAAAAATTAGGCACAGTAGCACGTAGTTGTAGTTCCGGCTACTTGGAAGGCTGAGGCGGAAGGATCGCCGAAGCCCAGCAGGTCAACATTAGGGTGGTGGTGAGCATGCCACTGCACTCCAGCCTGGGCGATGGAGTGAGACTCCAACTCAAAAGAAAGAAAGAAAGAAAGAAAGAAAGTCCAAGTTAGACAGAGAAATGTGAGACTACCCCCACATTTCATCTCCCCCCTCCCTCCAACCTGTGAGAAGGGCACTAAGCCCAGGTTGGACGGGCTGGGGATAGGCAGGGTCTGGGCGTTGGGGAGTGGGGGCTTCGCAGCCAGGAGACACCAGGCTCTGTGCCCCTGGTCAATGCCTTCTGCTCCTCCCCTCCTCCTATCCTTTTCCCCATCCCAGGAGGAGGATTTTCCAGAGCCGCTCAGCGAGAGCACCGAGGACATCAGCCTGGACTTGGGTGCCCTTGAGGGCAGCGAGTATCTCCAGGACCTGGGCCTTGGGGCTGCTCCCCAAAGCCAGCCTGGGGAGGCCCGGGGCAGCGGACCCCCTCAAAAAGAAAGCGGAGGAGGAGATTCACCCTTCTCCAGCTCGGCGGGGTCCCAAGATCTGTCGAGGCGGCGCAGCTGGGAGAGGTCACGGAGCTGCTCAGAAAGCTGGCAGAGGTCAGTCCCCTACGGCTGCCTGTGGTCCACGATACCCTCCCTCCCCACTCCCCAACTCCAAGACCAGGCAGGGCCGGGGAGGCCAGAGCCAGGTCCCAGGACACGCTGCCCCCTGCACCTGCATTGTTTGGCTACAGGACCACCCAAAGGGTCTGCACCATCAGAGGCAGCCTCCAATACACCTCTTGCAACTCGCACGTGCGTGCGCACAGTCCGTGAGCGCGCACAGACTCAGGGGCACGCGGATCCAGCGCACATGCACACGCCCACGCCCAAGCCCAAACCCGCGCGTTAGTGCACCATGCTCAACCCACGGACTTGCACACTCGCCCTCGGACCCACGCACGGACGCCTAACCGTGTGATGGACGAACCAATTGCATACATAGGCACAAAGCCACCCGTGCACTTAGGATCGAATCAGAGATGCAAGCGCTCGACTCCAGACGCCCCACGGAGGCAGCACCAGACAATGGCACTTTGGCCATCCCCAGCCTGTGTCCCTCAGTCCCTCCAAGTCACCCCAAGTAGAAAGCCAATCTGTACCCAAAAATGGTCTGCCAGGCGCGGTGGCTCCCGCCTATAATCCCAGCACTTTGGGAGGCTGAGGTGGGAGGATGACATGGACCCAGGAGTTGGAGACCAGTCTGGACAACATAGCGAGACCTCGTCTCTACAAAAAAAATTTAAAAATTAGCTGGGCATGGTGGTGTGTGCTTGTAGTCCTAGCTACTCTGGAGGCTGAGACGGGAGGATCGCCTGAGCCCAGAAGGTCACGACTGCAATGAGCCGTGATCGTGCCACTGAACTCCAGCCTGAGCAATCATGACTAAAAAAAAAAAAAAAAAAAGAATCTTACGTTCAGCTGATTATAAAAGATTTTTTTAAAGTTCTGAGATGCAGCCGGGCTCGGTGGCTCAGCCTGTAATTCCAGCACTTTGGGAGGCTGAGGTGAGTGGATTGCCTGAGCCCGCGGGTTCGAGACCCGCCTGTGCAACTTGGCGAGACCTCATCTCTACAATAAACCAAAAAATTAGCAGGGCGTGGTAGCGCACACCTGTAGTTCCAGCTACTCAGAAGGCTAAGGTGGAAGGATCGCCAGAGCCCAACAGATCGAGGCTGCGGTGGCCGGGAGCGGCCACTGCACTCCAGTCTGGGCGACAGAGTGAGACTCCAACTCAAAAAAAAAAAAAAAAGTTCTGAGATGCAAATGTAGCTTCAACAAATCTAACCAGGTTGACTCTCTCTTGCTGATACCATTAACCTCTCTGATATTGGGGGGACTGGACCCCTCTCTAAGGGCTGCCTGTGCCTCCCTGTCCTGAAAAGTTCCCCTGCAGGATCTTCAAGCCCCTGGCTGAAAAGGGCAGTGGTCAGCTGGACAAGATTCCCAGAAGCCACAATACCCTGTTTTCTTTCACCAGGCTCAGCTTCGATGCCTCGGCCGTGGACGAGGGACCCTGTCTCCCTCGGACACTGGCCAGCCTTGCTCTGAACCTGCCAGGAGGGGGACTGAAGACCTGGACCCAAAGGTGTCTGTCTGGGGGAGGGACCCCAGCAGAGCACCCAGGCAAGGTGGGTGCCCCTGCAGCAGCACCTGACAATATCACTCTTCTGGGTTCAGAAGCCAGCACCGGGTAGGAAGGAGAGTCTTACCCAGAGCTGGTGGGACTTGTTCATCATGACAGGGTGAGGGTGGTCTTTCCATGGCATGGTCCATGCCTGGGGCATCCCTGAGTCCTGAGATCCCAGCCCAGGCCTGAAGGGTCTTCCCAGTGGTCAGAGTCTGGGGCAGACGATCTTTGACCATGATGGTTACCCATTGGCTGGGGAAGTAGGAGAGATGTCTCCTTTTCTTGCAACTCCATCCAGGTTTGGTGTTTCTTTACCAGCAGACCCTGTAGTTAGGGTCTGCAGCTGGGGTGGGGGTTGTCTCAGGCCGCATCTGGGGGATGCAAGTTTGGGATTGTGGCTGTGGGCTGGAACATCTCTGAATGACCCTTGGAAAAATGCCCAGCCGTGGCTGGAACCCGTGGCTCTGAATCCTGGGACTCCAGCCCACTGCTGGAAACTCCTCAGCCAAGACTGCAGCCCTAGGGAGGGCATGGCTGTCCTGGTGTCCTGTGGCTGGGAGTGGGTGGAGTTGAGACTGAGTGTGTCCCTGGATTTCTCGGAGGCAGCCCTGGCCCTGGCTGGGGACCCTAGACCCGGGAGGCTCTCTGCAACCTGTGCTGCCTCCCTAGCTAAACAAGATACCTATTCCCCGCAGGAATGTGACAGCCCTGAGAAAAAAGTGAGGTCACGGTCCGTTCCTGTGTCCTTCTGTGAGGTCAGCTCCCTGGAAATCTCTCCAAGCTTGGAAGCACCTGCCTCACCCATTCAAGGTAGCCTGGCCAGGGAGTTTCCAAAGTAAGAGGAGGGGAGAGCAAAGGGGCTTCCCACTGGAGGGTCCCCTTGATGGGACTCCAGGTGGAGGAAGCCTAGGGTCCCCTGGGCAGGAACTGAGCAGAATGCTGGGGCATCCTGGGGACCCAGAGATGGGAAGAGACTCCCAGCATCCTCCCCTCCTCCTCTCCCTGGGGACTTTGGCCCCTGGGCTCACTTTTCCCTTTCTGATTCTGTCTTTTTCTTTCTTTTCCTCATTTATCTCTGAGCCTCCGTGGCTCCCTCTATTAGGAGGGGACACTAAGCGTATCCCCCCTAAGGCCTCTTGGAGCACTCTCTGAGCTCACTGTGTAAAGCGCCTAGCAGGTTGTAAGTGCTCATGAGAAGTCGGAGACACCTGTGTCCGCCCCGGCTCTCTGTCCTCTTCTGGTCTCTGCTCCCCAAGAGTGGAAGCCCCCTCTGGCTGATCTCCTGGGTGGGGCCAAAGGGGGGTGGTCTGTAGGGCTGGTTCTACCCCAGAGCCCCTCACACCTGTGTTTACTTTCGTGGGGGGGGTGCTGCTTCCAGGCCTAGAACCCCCAGTGCCAGAGTGTGTGGAAAAGGACCCTGTGGAACCAGATCATGTGTGAGTATCTGCCTCGCAGTGAGGAGGGTCCTCAGGGGGCTGGCCAGGGATGAAGGCAGGGCCGGTCAGGAGGGGTGCAGGGGTGCGGCATTGCTGGCCAGAAGTGATGGGGGGGAGGAGCCAGTCCCACTAATTTCCCCCACCCTCATCTCTCTCCCACACTGTCCTTCTCCCTGGGGAGGTCCCCAGGCCCCTCTGACAGGCTCTCAGTGTAGCTTTGAGAGCCCAGAGGGGCTCCCATGTCAGGGTCTGCATCAGGCCCAGGGCCTGGTCAGGGAATCCCCAGTCATCTTGGGGAATGCATCTGTCACCCACGGCCACCACAGACTCCCGTCATCCACACCCCACAGGCTAATGGTCCAGCAAGTGCTTCAAGAACTTCGACAGTACCATGGGTAAGTACGAGGGGCCCAGGTGTGGGAGGAAGAGGTGGTGCCCAAGGGTAGGGGGAAGCAGGAGCATGGCCAGGTATGGGGGACAGGTATAGAGAAGACAGAGCGCAACGGGAGAAAAACGGGGGTGGGGGACAGGGAGAACAGGGGACAAGAGCTGATGTGGAGCGAGCCGCCACCAGCCCAGGAAATGAGGAAAGATACCTCCTTCCTAAGACACTGTTAGAAAACCTGACCGGGTGCAGTGGCTCAGCCTGTAATCCCAGCACTTTGGGAGGCTGAGGCAAGAGGATTGCCTGAGCCCGCGGGTTTGAGACCAGCCTGGGCCACTTGGTGAGACCTCGTCTCTACAATAAATCACACACATACAAAAACTAGCCAGACGTGGTGGCATGCATCTGTAGTTCCAGCTACTTGGAAGGTGGAGGCGGAAGGATGGCCTAAGTCCAGCAGGTGGAGGCTACGGTGACCATGAGCGTGCCACTGCACTCCAGCCTGGGTGACAAGAGTGAGACTCCAACTAAAAAAAAAAAAAAAAAGGAAAAAGAAAACCTTCCGGCCGGGTGCAATGCCTCATACCTGCAATCTCAACACTTTGGGAGGCCAAGGCAGGAGGACTGCTTGAGGCCAGGAGTATAAGACAGTCTGGGCAACAGCGAGGCCCCCATCCCGACAAAAAAATTAAAAAATTGGCAAGCGTGGTGGCGTGCACCTGTAGTCCCAGCTACTCGGGAGGCTGAGGAGGGAGGATCGTGTAAGGCCAGGAAATTGAGGCTGTGGTGAGCTGTGGTTGCACCACTGCACTCCAGTCTGGGCACCATAGTGAGACCCTGTCTCTGAAAAAGAAGAGAAAATCTTCCTGATATGCAGATTTTGTTCAACCAAGACACGTTACCTGGAAAGCCTGTCATGACGTCCCCCCCATACACAATGGGCAGACTCTTAGACGTAGCACCTGATTACGTGGAAGCCTTGGTGGGGAGGGGCGTGAGAGGAGGCCGCTGACCCAGGTGTCTGTCCCCTCAGATCCCGCAGGGCTCGGCAGAGGGCTTGTATGTCAGCCAGTCCCGGAGGAGCCCCCTCCAATCTCACCTGGTTTGAGTTCCTGTCCGAGTAAGTACTCAGGGTAGCCACAGGAGGGAATTGGGAGGTGAGAAGGGGGAGCACGGGATTCAAAAAAGCATTTATCGAGGGCCAGAGCTGGGGGCAGTAGCTGGGCAATGGAGGAGCTGGGTCTGGTGGAAATGGAGGGGTGGGGCTCTCACGTACCTTGGAAGGACAGAGGATGACTTCCTGGAAGAAGGGGTGGTTTGAGTGGGGTTCTGACGGTAGAGTAGGAGTTTGCCAGTAGGAGCAGATGAGGATGAAGGAGAGAAGACAGAACTGTGAGGCCTAGGGCATGGCGTCAGGGTGGGGATGGGAAGAGGGAAGGTGGGAGAAGTCAGCAGAGAAGAGACCACCTTGGCAACAAGAAGGAGCACAGACTTTGGGCATCATCCATTCTGGTGACAGGCTGGAGACCACAGTCAGGTCCCTAACTCCCTCCTCTCTCTCTTTCTCACTTATTCATTCAACAAACATTTACAGATACTTGCAAAGTTCTAGGAACCCTGAGGATGGGACAGGAACACAGACTGGGTGAATGGAGTCTCCCTTTAGGGTACAGATTCTGCCAGAGATGGAACTATGTCCAACTTCATCACCAACCTAATACAATATTTATGTTTTAATTTTAATTTTAATTATTTTGAGTCAGGGTCTCTCTCTGTTCCCCAGGCTGGAGGGCAGTGGCACGATCACAGGTCACCGCAGCCTCAACCTCACGACTCAGGGGATCCTTTCACCTCAGTCTCCTGAATAGGTGGGACTACAGGTGTGCGCCACCACACCTGGCTAATTTTTTTTAAAATTTTGTAGAGACAGAGTCTTGCTATGTTGCCCAGGCTAGTCTCGAACCCCTGGGCTCAAGCAATCCTCCTGCCTCGGCCTCCCAAAGTGCTGGGATTACAGGCGTGAGCCACTGTGCTCGGCCATAAATATTTATTCAAAGAAGGTGTGCCAGCAATCCAGGGAGGCGGACCAGTGATCTGAGGATGGAAGTTGGCAGGATAGGGAAGGGTCAAAAGAATGGGCAAGACTGAAAGGCTGATTTGGTATGGGGTAGGAGTGGGGAGTGTGGTGAATTAGAGGGAGAAATCAGAGAGGAACAGAGCCCAGGTTTGCAGTCAGGGCCTGCTGAGGGAACTCAAGGTATGTAACTATGTTACATTCGCCTCTGCAAACCCAGTCCCCGAGTCTCCTGGAACTTTGCAAACATCCATACGTGTTTGTTGAGTGGCTTACACCTGTACTCCCAGTGCTTTGGGAGGCTGAGGCAGGATGACAGCTTGAGCCCAAGAGTTGGAGACCAGCCTGGGCAACATAGTAAGACCTCATCTCTACAAAAATAAAAAAAAATTAGCCGGGCGCAGTGGCACACACTCTAGTCCCAGCTACTTGGAGAGACTGAGGCAGGAGGATGGCTTAAGCCCAGGAGTTGGAGACCAGCCTGGACAACATAGCAAGACCTCATCTCTACAAAAAAATTAGCCGGGCGTGATGGCATGCACCTGTATTCCCAGCTACTCGGGAGGCTGAGGCGGGAGGATCGCCTGAGTCCATGAGGTTAAGGCTGCAAGGCTGCAGTGAGCTGTGATCGTGCTACTGCACTCCAACCTGAGTGACAGAGTGAGACCCCAACTCAAAAATAATAAGGGAGGGAGTTCGGGACCACAGAAGCGGGAAGGTAGGGCCAGGAAGCCACAGGGAGACAGTTTCCAGGTGGATTCAAGGAACAGTGCACAGTGTCGCCTCAGAATGGCTTGTGGCCCCCTCTAATGGACCTTCCCTCCACCCCCAGGAGCGAGGACGGCGCTGGAAAGAACGAGAAGAATGACAAGAGTACTGGAGTGAAGCGTAGGCTGAGCTGTCTCCGGAGTCGAGTCATCAAACAGAAGGAGAAGGTTGGAGAAGCATGGGGCCGGACCAGGGGGGCTCCCTCTTCCTCCCCCAGCTGGGCAGGGTGCCCTTGGCCAGGGAGCTCTGTGATTTCAGCTGGTGGGGGGAGGGGTGTAATCCCAGAACGTTGGGAGGCAAAGGTGGGAAAATCACTTGAGCCCAGGAGTTTGAAACCAGCCTGGGCAACATAGCAAGACCCCAGCTCTACAAAAACAAAAACAAAACTAGCCAGGTGTGGTGGCACATGTCTGAAGTCCCAGCAACTCAGGAGACTGAGGGGGGAGGAACACAAGGCATAAGAAAACCAGCCCTGCAGAGGGTATCCTAAGACCCACCTCTGTCCCACACAGGCAAAGAGCCCAGCACATCTAAAGGACAAGGGCCAGGACACTCGAGAGAAGCGGGAGTGTGTCAACGGGCACCAGCTGGCACAAGGGACATTTTGGGGCCACTCTGGCTGTCCCCTATGTGGCAAACCCTTCCTGAACTCTGGTAAGTCTGGCGGCCCAATCCATCCGCCTTGACAGCAGCCGCGGTCCCTTCCTCACTCCCTTTCGATGGCTCCCGTGGTCTCTCTGCACCGGGCATCCTTGTCCCAAATGCAAGCAGACCTTGGCCACTCCCTGGAGAGAAGCAGGGATGGGTCCCCTGAATGCAGGAGCCCTTTGGTTAACTCAAGACTGGTAACATCTCCTGTAAGTCTCAGCTTTTGCTGTTCCTCCTGCAAAACCCAGCCTCGGGCCGCGTATAAATTTGCTGGGGCTGCCGTGACAAGGCACCACATACAGGGTGGCATAAACATCAGACATCTATTGCCTCAAAGTGCTGGAGGCTGGAAGTCTGAGATCAAAGTGTCAGAGGGCTCCAGGCTCCATCTGAAGGTGCCAGGGTAATCCAGGCGGTTCTGGTAGTTCCTGGGCCTCACAGGGTGTATGTGTGTGTGTGTGTGTCTGTGTGTGTGTGTGTGTCCATGTTCCCATTTCCCCTTTCTAGAGGGACACCAGTCATATTGGATTAGGGACTCACCCAACTCCAGTGTGACTTCATCTCAACTATTTACATCTGCAATAATCCTATTCCCAAATAAGGTCACATCCTGCAGAGTTAGGGGGAGGGGTGGGATGGCTACTTATGAATTCGGAGGGGGAGACACGATTCAACCCATAACAGGTCATTTTCAGCCCACCCTACCCCTCACCCCAGGGATCATGGCAGTGGTGGGGTGAGGATGACAAGGGTCTCTGCTCAGGGAAGAGTACTGATTCAAGGGCTGGGCTTGGTGGCTCATGCCTGTAGTAACCCCAGCATTTTGGAATGCCGAGGTGGGAGGACGGCTTGAGCCCAAGAGCCTGAGACCAGCCTAGGCAACATAGCAAGACCTCATCTCTACAAATAATTTTTTAAAAATTAGCCAGGCATAATGACATGCGCCTGTAGTCCAAGCTACTTGGGAGGCTAAGGTGGGAGGATCGCCTGAGCTCAGGAGATCGAGGCTGCAGTGGCCATGAATATGCCATGCACTTCGGCCTAGGCTAAAGAGTGAGACTCTGACTCAAAAAAAAAAAGTACTGGTTCAAGAAATCCCAGAAGGAGATGTCTCTGGGAGCCGCTGGGATTGAGAAATTTGCCTTGATGAAATTGAGCTCTGCTTTGAAGTGGGTGGAGAGGAAGAAGCGGCAGTTGCATTTAGAAAAGACATGTGCATGGTTTGAAGCAAGAATCCAAACCACAGATTGTGGCCGCCAGGACTCAGGCTCATTCAGGGCTTCTGAGCCTTAGCACTGTTGACATGTGAGACCAGGTAACTCTTTGTAGGAATGAGTGGGGGGGCTGCCCTGTGCACTGTGGGATATTTGGCAACATCCCCAAGATGCCAGTAGCAACCACCCTCATCTCCGGTTGTATCAAGCAAAAATATCCTCAGAGCCAGAGACTTGGCTCATGCTGTAATCCTAGCACTTTGGGAGGCCAAGGTGGGAGGATCGCTTAAAGCCAGGAGTTCTAGACCAGTCTTGGCAACATGGTGAGACCCTGTCTCTACAAAAAAATAGAAAAAATTAGCTGGGTGTGGTAGTGCATGCCTGTAGTCCCAGCTACTCAGGAGGCTGAGGAGGAAGATCACCTGAGCCCAGGAGGTTGAGGCTGCAGAGAGCCATGATTATGCCACTACACTCCAGCCTGGACGACAGAGTGAGATCCTGTCTTAAAAAAATAAAGGCCGGGCCCAGTGGTTCAAGCCTGTAATCTCAGCACTTTGGGAGGCCGAGGTGAGAGGACTGCCTGAGACCATGGGTTCAAGAACAGCCTGGACAACTTGGTGAGACCTCATTCTACAATAAAAGTCAAAAAATTAGTTGGGTGTGGTAGTGCATGCCTGTAGTTCCAGCTACTTGGAAGACTGAGGCAGAAGGATCACCTGAGCTCAGCAGGTGGACACTGGGGTGGCCGTGAATGTGCCACTGCACTCCAGCCTGCGTGACGGAGTGAGACTCCACCTCAAAAAATAATAATAATACAAAAAGTGAATAATAAATAAAACAAAAATTTCTAGATGTGACCAAAATCCCCAAGAATGAGTGGGCTGATGAGATGACATGGTGAGCAGACCCTAGGATGGGCTTAGCCATGTATGTTCCACCCCGGGCAGGTGTCTCCAGGTGACCTGAGGCCCAGGTTTTACATTTCTCGATTTCACCCGCTCCACACTTGGGTGTTTTCCATCTTCAGTGTTACCCGCTCTTTCTGGAGCACCATTTTGCTGGCTATGGGGCTGTGGGGGTGGGGGAGTTGTTGCTGGAGCTTTCCCTCCACCGGGCAATCCCCACCCAGCTCTGTGACACATGAGATGTCTTTAGCAGGGGCTGTGTGAGCTTCTTGCAGTCTTCAGTGCACTCACAATATCAACAACTTTTTTTTTGAGTCAAGGTCTCACTCTGTCATCCAGGCTGGAGTGCAGTGGCATGATTGTGGCTCACCACAGCCTCGACCTACTGGGCCCAGGAGATCCTTCAGCTTCAGCCTCCAGAGTAGCTGGGACTACAGGCGTGTACCACCACGTCTGGCTAATTTTTTTATTTTTTTGTAGTGACGCGGTCTTGCTATGTAGCCCAGGCTGGTCTTGAACTCCTGGGCTCAGACAATCCTCTGGCCTCAGCCTCCCAAAGTGTGGGATGACAGGTGTGAGCCACCATGCCCAGCTAATATCAGCATTTTGAAGTCCTTAATCCTGAACAGGATGTGACCTCCTGTTCCTTCTGGCATCCTGTTCTCTTCGGCGGTTGCTGAGGTTTGCTCGATCTATCTTAGGCATCAGATGCAAGGGGGAGGTGGGAGGTGGGAAGAAGGAAGGTGATGCCAGATCTAGAAACAGGACCATGCGCAGAACAAGTGCCGGGAGCCAGCCCCTGAGGACACTTGCACGAATAGCTCCGGGCTGAGTGGACCATGATGTGCTTCCCACTGACTCTGCGGCTCCTTCCTTGTCCTTTTCCATTCATTCCATTACCAGCTTGTCCTTTGCTTCTCAGAGAAATCCTGGGAATTTTTTATTTTTGAGTTGGGGTCTCACTCTGTCGTCCAGGCTGGAGTGCAGTGGCACACTCATGGCCACCCCAGTGTCAACCTGCTGGGCTCCGGCGATCCTTCTGCCTCAGCCTTCCAAATAGCCGGAACTGTAGGCGTGTACTGCCATGCCCGGCTAATTTTTGATTTATTGTAGAGACGAGATCTTGCCAAGTTGCTTGGGCTGGTCTCGAACCTGCCGGCTCAGGCAATCCACTCGCCTTGGCCTCCCAAACTGCTGGGATTAACAGGCTGAGCCACCAAGACTGGCCAAGATCCTGTGATCTTTAAACTCTAATTATGTGACATCAAAGGACTGTGCATCCGTGACCCACAGGTCTGCAGCACCCCCTTCACCTAGGAACTTTATTTATCTATGTTATCTTTTAGAGACAGGGTCTCGCTCAGTTGCCCAAGCTGGAGTACGGTGGCATGATCATAGCTCACTGCAGCCTCAAACTCCTGGGCTCAAGCGATCCCCCTTCCTGCTGAGGGACTACAGGCATGGGCCACAGCGCATGGTTCATTTGTATTTTATTTTACTTTTTGTAGAGATGGTGTATGGTGGGGTGCGGGGGAGGGGTGGGGATCTTGCTATATTGCCCAGGCTAGTCTTGAACTCCTGGGCTCAAGCAATCCTCCCACCTTGTCCTCCCAAAGCATCAGGTTTATAGGCATGAGCTACCATGCCTGGCCCCAGGTCTTGTTTATAATTTGGAATCTTATTGCCATAAAGAGACTATTCCATCCATCTTATTTCTGTGTTAATACCTTACAGCTCAAGGAAGTTTTAAGTTTGTATAAAATAGCACTTTGCAAGGTGTCAGATATAAACAATGATATCATGTAACAGCATCTTCTTGATCATGTGTTGCTATTGTTGTCTAAGGTCTTTCAGTCAGTAAGAGGCAAAGCTTGTATTTTTTTCTTTTTTTTGAGTCTGGGTCTCACTCTGTTGCCCAGGCTGGTGTGCAGTGCACGATCATGGCTCACCCCAGCTTCGACCTCCTGAGCTCAGGCAATCCTTCCTTCTCAGCCCCCCTGAGTAACTGGGACTACAGACATGTCCACCTCACCTGGCTAATATTTTTAATTTTCTGTAGAGACAAGGTCTCACTTTGGTGCCCAGGCTGGTCTCGAACACCTGGCTTCAAGCAAGTCTCCTGCCTCAGCCTCCCAAAGTGCTGGGATTACAGGCGTGAGTCCAACCCAAAGCTAGCGTTTAAATTACAGACCCTAACTCTGTGCTTTGACTATGCCCTCCCCCCCATATCTGTGTCAGGAAGCATGTGGGGTAGGGGAGAGACAAGAACCCTGCGTATCATTCACATTAGGCTGAGAACAGGCACTCCTCAGGTATAACTTGCCACGGGGCTTCCTGCCATGACACAGGTATTCAAAGTCAGGCGTTACAAAGCCAGGCGTTACTGTCGGCCATGGAGGAAACTGCCTCACAGTAATAAGTTCAACAGAACAGAGAATGAGTCACTCTCCTAGTAGTTAGGGAAGGTGGGTCTCCAGGGTAAAGCTGGGATGCTTTTCCAGAGACAAGTCCTGTTAACAAAACACCGTAGCAGACAGTCTCGATCCCGGCCTTGACCTTCGAGGCTCTTCACAGTCCGACCCCACCTAGCCCCTCACCCTTCTCTCCCCTACTCAGCCACCCCAGACTTCACGGCCCAGCCACCCTGAAGTCTTGTGATTGTCCATTCACATCATCTGCACCTTGATGTTGTCCCTGGAACTCCCTCTATCACCTAAATCTTACTCACCCTTTAAGTCAAAGTGCCCGTCCACCTCCTCCAGGAAGCCTGAATCAGGCCGGATGAGTGGATGTCTCTCAGGCCAGTTGCTCTCAGCTGAGGGTCATTTTGCCCCAAGAAGGGATATTTGGCAATGTCTAGAGGCGTTTTTGTTTGCCAAGACAAAAC